AGGGGCTGCGGGTCGGGAGTGAGGGGCACACTGGCAGAGCTGGGGCGGGGCAGGAATGGGCTATCAGGGGCTGCGGGTCGGGAGTGAGGGGCACACTGGCAGAGCTGGGGCGGGGCAGGAATGGGCTAGCAGGGGGCTGTGGGTCGGGAGTGAGGGGCACCGGCAGAGCTGGGGCAGAGCTGGAGTCCCAGGGGGCTGCAGGTCAGGAGTGAGGGGCACCACAGACTGGGGGGGGGGAGGGGAGGCGTAGAACAGCAGGCGATGTCGTGGCTCGGATGCGTTTGGGGAACCCCCCTCCCCCAGTCTCCGGTTCCCTGTGACAATCGCAGACAATGAGACAGGTGGAGGTTTGTCCAGAGCAGAGGCCGCAGTTTCCCGCTCCGCCCCCAGGGGTGCCGGCTCCCCACGGCCCCTCGGGTTTATTGGGGTGGCTGGTGACACACAGGGGTAGAGGGGTGCTCGGCGTGTTGCAGGGGCGACACTGTCTGTAATCTCTGCGGCCCGTGGTTCCGGGTGGAGCTGGTCCCGGAGGCCTGGGTTTTGGGTTCCTGGTGGTGAGGGGCAGGGAGGAGTCCGGAGGGGGTGGGCAGTCCTGCCGCGGCTCCTCAGGACGCGCTGGCTGCTCTTCGGCTCAGTACTGGGTTTGCTGGAAATGGAGCAAAGGGGGTGAAATTAGAGCCCCTGCCCCGTCCTGCCCCTCGCCCAGCGCTGAGACACAGCTGGCTCTGGGGTGGGGCGCGGGGGCCTCTTCGTACAGGGATCCCTCACCTGGCGCTGAGATGCATCTGGTTCTGGGCTGGGCGCGGGGCTGTTTGTACAGGGACCCCCAGTGAGGAGATGCAGCTGGCTCTGGGGTGGGGCGCGGGGTCTGTTCGTACAGGGACCCCCAGTGCGGAGATGCAGCTGGCTCTGGGGTGGGGCACGGGGTCTGTACAGGGACCCTGGTGCGGAGATGCAGCTGGCTCTGGGGTGGGCGCGGGGCTGTTCGTACAGGGACCCCTCGCCCGGCACTGAGACGCAGCTGGCTCTGGTGTGGGGCGCGGGGGCCTCTTCGTACAGGGATCCCTCACCCGGTGCTGAGATGCATCTGGTTCTGGGGTGGGCACGGGGCTGTTTGTACAGGGACCCCTTGCCCGGCACCAAGATGCAGCTGACTCTGGGGTGGGGCGCGGGGCTGTTTGTACAGGGACCCTGGCGCGGAGAGGCAGCTGGCTCTGGGGTGGGGCACGGGGCTGTTCGTACAGGGACCCTGGCGCGGAGAGGCAGCTGGCTCTGGGGTGGGCACGGGGCTGTTCGTACAGGGACCCTGGCGCGGAGAGGCAGCTGGCTCTGGGGTGGGGCGCGGGGCTGTTTGTACAGGAACCCTGGCGCGGAGAGGCAGCTGGCTCTGGGGTGGGCGCGGGGCTGTTTGTACAGGAACCCTGGCGTGGAGAGGCAGCTGGCTCTGGGGTGGGCGCGGGGCCGGCTCGGCTGTGGGGGGTCTCACCTTGGGGCTCCTGGCCTGTTTCTTGTTGCAGGTCCCGCAGAGGCAGCCGAAGAGGCCGTTCAGCACCTGGATCCCGCAGAGCAGCAGCTCCAGCAGCGCCGCAGCCAGCACCAGGGAGAAGAGGATGACGTTGAACCGGACCACGCCGGGCGGGTTCACGCAGGCGTCCCACACCGAGGTGTTGAACAAGTAGCTCTGCTCACTGCACGGAGAGTGAGGGACTGGCCAGGTGCCACGCGGCCTGGTGCCCCTCGACCCCGCCCCGCCGCCCCCCGGCTCTGCCGGAGCCCCTCGACCCCGAGTCACCATCCCCCCGGCTCTGCCGGAGCC